AAAGAAAGAAAGAAAGAAAGAAAGAAAGAAAGAAAGAAAGAAAGAAAGAAAGAAAGAAAGAAAGAAAGAAAGAAAGAAAGAAAGAAAGAAAGAAAATCTTATTGTATTTTTTAAGTCTGGCAAATAATGGTGACTATTGTCCACTACATTGAACAGAGAAGTGTACTCCTAAAAAAGGAGCAAGTGTCCTCTCAGGATAACAATGTTTAAATAATTAAAACTTAGAAGACTTTATGTATTGTGTACTTTTAGAAGCAAGTAAGCTCCAATGAGGAAAGTAACATTGAATAAATTGCCTTTTGTTTACTAGTCAATCGGTATTTAAATCTTAAAATAGCTTAAGTACTTGCTAAATAAATTTGAAATATGCACTGATTTTAAGTGCCTTTTAAAAAAGACATGATCCCATGCTTCTGTGAGCTGTGGACAAAAGGAACGACCTTGTCTCGCCTGAGAATCAGGTTTACTTCCTGGATATTGGTCTTTCTTCAYGTCCAGGGAGTCTGTATTTAAAGACATAAAATCCAAGTGAACTACCGACTAGCATGTTATAAAACTGAACACAAGTATTGCAACAGAATATTCTGCTTGGATCCAGAGAACAACCAGTTCCCAAGGACACCTATAGGCTTTTCCCACCTCTGTAATCATGTCTCTCACAACACACATTTTCTTATTCRAACTTCTCAAACAAGCAAATGAAAACTGTGAGTGAATCCACCATTTCAGTACATAATCTGATAATTCAGCAGATAAAAGATAATCCAAACTACTACCAAATAAACGACATCAATTTAAGATTTTTCCATGTAAAATAAAAAGTCTTTGCAAATACCTCTTATTTTGCAATTACAACATAGTCTTTCTTCTCCAATAAAAGTTCTGGCTGCTTGATCTGACCACTTGTAATAGATGCTATAGTTATCTACATTCTTGGAGTCTAAGCAAAGTGTATCGAGATAGGAACAGCTGTACTCTGTCAGATGRTCCAGAATTAATAACCCTTATGCAAGGAAATGCCAGATGTTCACAGTAAAGCACAAAGACCCTACCATAAGTTAGACTTGCAAAGATATTTTCTTTTAGTCTTCTCATAGCAAGACTCAGCCAAAAAAGGTAAGATTTTGCCCATTCTAAAAGGTATTGTTCTCACATGAATAGCTATTAATTATTTCCCGAAACCTGTACCCTCTTCTGCTRTGTGCTTCCATTCCTTAAAACTGTGATCCACTGGAAATGCTGAGAATGTTTGTAGAATTTTTCAAACTATTGAATGTTGTCTTCCTGTTTATTAAAAAAGTCTGCTTGACTTGAAAAATCAAGAGAAAAGCAAAACCTTTTGAAGAGCTCTGCCTGGTTTTTTTCCTTCCCTCCATCAACATATGGCAACATCTGCTGCCTCCCTGGTGGATAATGACTTGTTGGCATTGASTTTTCTGCAACCAAAACTTGTTAAAGGGGCAAGTAGATAAATTCAGGTGCAATTAAAATATGTATGTATGCACACATATAAATACGTGCTTTCAAGTTCTTGAGGTTTGGTGTAATTGTATGGGAATGCAGTTATTTTTCTGAGCTCAACACATTGAGCATAAAGCCCATGATGACAACCTTACTTTCTTGTTGAGGAAACACAAATTCCCTTTTGCTTACTGACAAACCATACAGCAGAAACTGTTAACAGGAGGACACTGTCATTTGGCAAAATGAAAGAGCAGACAATTCAAGTTTTAAACTTTTATTAAGCCTCATCAAAACAGAGTCAAACACATGAGCGAGTGCTGTGTGAGGCAAGTTTGATWATTTCCTGGGTGATCAAGCACGACACTTGTGCGGACGGCTTCCGGAAGACCATTCTGTGCAGCTCACGGACATAACTGTGTTTTCAGAAGTCAGGACGGTCCTTTTTCAGCCTGCTGTAGTCCACATTAACCGAGTAGAACTAAGAAAGAGAAGGGAAAAAATATTAGTTAAGAAGCTTGACCACATGTTTTCCATGGTATTTACTAAAAAAATATGCATCATTTGAACTCACATCAGGAAACTGAAACAATACTTTGCATCTGTGAATGGCACAATAATAAATACATGAAAACTTTTGACGAGTGGTAACTTTTTAATATTAATTATGCACCCAGTGTAAGAAGCTCTGCACTTAAAATGAAGCAGTGTTCATGTCTTCCACTAGAGAAAACCCCGTGTCTCTTCTTAAGCCCTTGAATCAGAAGTCCATTCAGAGGAACTTTTTATAGCACTGCTGAGTTTATCCGTTTTGCTAAATATCTATGACTCCTATATACAAAAGGCAAAAGTCAGCTTGCCAAGTGGCACAAAGCACAGTGTCTGGGAAAAGTCTCACAGAGGAACATTTAGAACAGTGCTGCAAAAGCCAAGCTTGGTTTAAGTAGCTGTATCTAAAACTCCAAAGGATGACAAGGAGGAATGAAAGTAAGAATAGATCCTCTCACATGCTCAGTTTATATTACTATAATTGTACCATATTACAAGTGATTCAAAACAACCCAAAAAGTGAGTGAGGATGAGTTTACAGACTGTGTATTCTGGCATCCCAGCCTGACTTGAGACCAAGCATGTGATTTTCACTTTTTAAACAAAAATTACAGAAAAACATTTAACTTATTAGCTTATTTTTAGTTATGCCAAATTTTTAATATTTTTATCTGTCTCAAAGAAAACAGCCTACAGCACATTCAAATTAAAGCTTTCTGTGCAACTCTTAAACTAATGATCAAGTCTTCAACTCTTTTCTTTGGAAAAAGTCTCAGAAAGTTAATATAACAAAGAGAAGTTTACAATAGAAAAAAAATCTCATCAAAAGCTAAGACTTGTTATGTAAGAACTTTTTACTAAAGGCTCACCCTTAATTTAGAATAAATGTCTTTTTCATTTCCGACAGTGCAGATTTGGAAAAAAAAAATGTCCCCAATGATACACACACCCAAATATGGCAAACCCACAGGCTGTGTTTGCATGTCAAGGCAGAAGGGGAATGCTACACAAGTCATGCACTCTTTAAAAGAATTTGTGCTGTGGACTATGCTGGACTTGTCTAGTTTAGGTAGTTACAAATCAGCGACATTCCAGAATCAGCAATGAAAACAAAGCATTATRTTCTTCCCAGACATTTAAGGGAACCACAACCTGTTTTATTTTGGAAGTGTGGGGGTTCTTTTCTTATTTCAATGACAGGAATAGCAATATTCCTTTGAACTTTTGTTCAGCTTTGAAAACATAGTAGATTTGCTTTTTTTTGTATCATGAGAATAATCTTAAAATACTCTTCACAGCAACCTACTAACACAGCACTCCTGTAAAACACGATTAAAACTAGATTCCTGTCCAAAGAAGGGCAATGAAGCAGGTGAAGGGTAGAGAGTAAGTCATATCAGGAGTGTCTGAGGGAGCTGGTGTTGTTCAGCCTGGAGAACAGGRGGCAGAGAGGAGACCTYATCACTCTCTACCGCTCCCTAAATGGAAGGGGTAGCCAGGTAGGGCTTCCCTGGCCTTCTCCCASGCAACCAGTGACAGGATTAGAGGACACAGCYTCAAGCTGTATCAGGGGAGGTTTATGTCGGACATCAGGAAGAATTTCTTTATTGGAAGAATTGTCAAACACTGAAATGGACTACCCTGGGTGGGAGTGGAGTCAYTATACCTGGAAGTGTACAAGAAACRACTGGGCATGGCACTTAGTGCTGTGGTCTAGTTGACAACATGGTGTTTGGTCAAAGGTTGGACTCARYAATCTTGAAGKTCTTTTCCAACATAAATGATTCTGTGATTCCAGGATTTCCATAAAGTACCAAATGTTTTAGACAACTCTGTGTGCTCCCTCATTATTTCAATTAAATTACTTGAATATCAGATAAAGAACATTTCTATTGCRTCCAGTTACTTACAACTGCTTTGTTTTCAAAAAAAAAAATCAACTGCAAAACTTAATTCGTGGTTATGTTACATTTTCCTGCAGTGCTTCTCATGCCAAGACCAACAGCTTAGAGATTAAAAAACTGTCATTCAGAACTTCTGCAGTTTTTCCTTGTAGTTTACTTCTGAGTATTATGCACAGTAAATTCTTCCCCTCATATATAATTCTTCTTTTCCTTWCAGCACGGTAGACATGACTACTTTCATACAGACTCCTTTCACCCCCTTATCAACCATTATTAGGAAAGTTTTATATCTCAATCTCAGGCATCTCTGCTCAGAGCTCTAAAGATAAACAAATGCCGCACAGAATACATGAGAAATACTCATTCAACTACTTTCCAATATAATCAAACATCCTAAAGCAGCAGGCTACATCTCTAATATTATGCTTCCTAATGCTTCCTAAAAATGTGCATTTCTCATTTTACCTTGTACTGGTCACTGGGAGCCATTTTGTTCCAAGGTTCTGGGTTATTCTTCTTGTCCCAGCTGTTGAGRAAAATGCAAGATGTGAGAGAATATTAACACCATCTTCAAAATTAATAATAAAAAAAAAAATTGTATGTGTACTGTGGTTTTAGATCATGGAGTCACCCAACCAAGCAAGTTTCCACAGAAAACGGCACCATCCTTTGTCAGCACTCTCTAAATATAATRGTAAATGAAGGTATCGCCAAATCATGGAAGGCTCTACACATCTAGAACCAGTGATACTGGATCAAGACATTAAAGCCTTCAGCAACATAAAATCCAAGGCAGTGAAGTGTAACATACGCAGCAAGAGGACTGGCACAGGGTATTACTGTATACGTACCTGACATCAGGGTTGAACATTGCCAAACGCATGAGATACAGGCCTGCACCAACACCTCCAGATCCAATGATCACAAACAGAGGGATCAACTGGAATAACAACAGCAAAAAAATCTATATCACACTATGTAGCAAAATACTATTAACACATAACATTTTTGACTGCAGCTATGGCAAACCAAAAAACAATATTAGAGGCTTTGAGCCACAAAAGTGTGGCCCTCTAAATCCCTGGCATAAACTCCCTGCGGTAGAKCCCTAGAGTGAGAGAGAACCAGCARCTATGAAGAGGCAGGTATGAAAAAAAAATACTTCTACATCCAGAGAAACCAAAATCAAACCAAAAATCCCGTCACGGTGCGTTTCTGAAATACATACATCCATCCCTCCGCTGCCAAAACAGCCCCTACCGTCTCTACTCAGATTATAAACCAAAAACACGGGAGGTGGGGGGGGCGGGGGCCAACTGATGGGCAAGAAAAACGGAACAGCCACCTCGAGCCTGGCAACACAAACAAGGCCGCACAGGCCGGAGGAAAAAGGGGACCTGGCCGAATGTGCTCGACCAGCACCGGCCGGCCCCGGGCTTACGGCATGTACAGGAATGCCAGGAGACGGATGGGCGAGGAGGAGGTGAACGGCGGGGCCGGGGACACCGAGCGGCGGCARGGCCGGGTACTCACGGCCGGGTGCTTCTTGGCGTGGGTGAGGACAACGCGTAGCATGGTGGTGGTGTGGTGGTGGTGGCGGTGGAGGCGGCGGTGTGGCAGAGATGGGTGCGAGTGAAGGTCTCACTCTCTGCGGGCTCCGCAGCGGTGCCTCCCCCGTCTACCACCGAGCCCCAATGTCACCGAGGCCCCCGCCGCGGCAGGTGCCGCCGCTGCAGCCCGGATGTGGCAGCTCCGGCGTTCGCCTGCTCGCCCTCCGCCGATCCGCGCCGGCCGCCGCACCGCCGAGCCGCCCCGAGCCCTCCCCGCGTCCGGCCCGGCCCGGCCGCCCCCCGCCTCAGCGCGGCCCCGTCCCGCGGCAGCCCGGGCACCGAACGGGGCAGCAGGCACCGGCACGGGCACCCCGGGCAGCGCCGCCCCTCCCCTCCTCGCTGCCGTGTGGGCAGCGCCTGCGCCCGGGCAAAGCGCGCCGGGCAGGGCCGGGAGCCTCGGCCGCCCATCGGGACAGCCGCCCGTGTCACAGAGCCACAGGATGGGCCAGCGTGCTAGGAAGCTCAGTGGGTCATCTGCGCCGACCTCCCTGGCCACACAGGGTCATCCTATGGCACAAGAGTGCATCTCGACGGTTCTGGAATATCTCCAATAAGAGAGACTCCACTACCTTTGGGCAGTTTGTTCCAGTGTGCAGTCAACTGCCCAATAAAGTTTTTCTTCGTATTCAGGTGAAACTTCCTTTGCATCAGTTCCTGCCCCTTGCTTTGTTTGTATCCAGTTGATTGGCACTACCAAGGAGAGCCTGGCTCCATCTTCTTGACGTCCCCTTGCTTTAGATATTTACAGATACCGATAAAATCCCCTTTCAGTCATTTCCTTTCGAGGCTTGACAGGCCCAGCTCCCCCAACCTTTCCTCTTGAGAGAGATACTCCTCCGATTGTCCTTGTGACCCTCAAGGAGCTCCATGTCTCTTTTTCGCTGAGGAGCCCAGAACTGGACACACTCCAGGTGTGGCCTCACTAGGACAGAGTGGAGGGGCAGGATCATCTCCCTTGACCTGCTGGCAATGTTCTAGTGAATGCCAGGATAGTGCTGACCTCTTTGGCCACAAGGGCACTGCTGGCTCATGGGCAGCTTGTTATGCACCAGCACTTTGTTGGTGCTGCCCTCACACCACCTGAGAGCTGCTGCCACGCAGACATGGGACAGAGCACACCACGGCCTTTTCAAGAGGTGCCTTCCTGCTCCTTACAGCATCAGGACTGCTGGAAAGGTGTGTGGTGGTGATGGGTACACACCCCCATGTCTGCCTCTCAGCTGGCTCCCCTCACAGG